TGTTGATAAGGTTATTCTTCATCAAGTTAGTCAACCCTTTCTCACCGATGTGGCCGAGCCTCAGGTGCCACAGATTCTGAGAAGTCTCCTCTGCAATGTTGAGGCTATCCATACAAATCCTCAAATGGGTTTTGTACAATGTGCCACAAACATGTCCTCGAGCGATTGTCAAAACGCCCTTTGACATTTTCCAGGTGCCCCTGTTAAAGTGGTTGTCATACCCCTGTTCGTCAAGACATACCACAGATAGGAGATTGAGCCGAAGGTCTGGGACATGTCTGACATCCTTCAAAGTGATTGTGCTCTCAGTACTCGTCTTTATTTGTACATCACCAATTCCAGCTATTCCAGAGGAACTCGAATTGCCCATCTTTACTGCTCCAAAGTCTCCAGCTTTGTAAGTTGTGAAGTAGTACCTGTGGGGAGTAACATGGTAGGATGCTGCAGTATCTACCACCCATTCAGTGTCCTCTCTTGAGACGTGCAGGCATGTTTCATCATTGCTAGTACAATACGCCACATCACCTGAGATTGTGATGAGCGCTTCACCACCCTTGTTCTTCGCTTGAGAATTGCTCTTGCCTCGCTCCTCTAGCAATTTGTAGCAATTCTTCTTCATGTGACCCTCTATACCGCAATGGTGGCAGGTATAAGAAGGTTTCCGGCCATCTGATGATCTCCCCCGACTTTTGCCTCTGCTTTTCCACTTTCCTCTACTGTTTCTTTGTTGCTTTCCTTGTGATCTTCCTCGATTCTCCGTCACAAGAGCATGAGTCTGATCTGTGCTCATGTCTTTCCTCCTTGCCTCCTCATTGAACAATGCGTCCTTGACCACAGACATGGTAAGTTTGCCATCTGGGGCTGAGTTGCCGAGAGTAACAACTAGTGTCTCCCAACTATCAGGAAGGGAACTAAGAAGTAGTAGAGATTGCATTTCATCTCCAAGTGGCATTTCTACACAAGATAGTTGATTTACCAGACTCTGAAACTGACTAGTATGTTCAGCAACAGAAGTTCCACTTTTGAGCTTCATATTGACAAGACGCCTCATCAGTAGGGCCTTATTCCTGGCGGTCTTGGCCTGGTACATATCTTCTAGCTTCTTCCAAAGGGCATAAGCGTCGGTTTCTTGTGCAACGTGGTGGAAGACACTATGATCAATCCATTGACGGATTTGACCAATAGTTTTTCTATTTATTTTCTTCCACTCTATTGATTTGGGTGGGTCAGGATTAATACCTTTCATCTCTATTGGATCAAAAAGGTATTTACAGCTAAGGAAATCTTCCATCCGAGGTTTCCATAGCGTGTAGTTGGTAGCCGTGAGCATAATCATAGCTCCGGAAGATGAAGTTGACTCGTCAAAGGTCATTTTCACCTTCTAAATAATTTTAATATTCTGTTTGAGAAAAATCGGAGCAGAATTTTGAAAAACTGGCAGCACCGTTGCGTCCGGAACGGCCAAAAATGGTGGGTAGACACTTTCGGGGTCAAAATACAATTTTCGAAAAATTATAGGTGTAAATTATAATTTTCCAAAAATTGAGGGACCTAACTGCAATTTTTCAAAATTTAAAAACTGACTGGTGACGTGGCAGATGACGTGGCAGATGACGTGGCGCTAACTGGGCGTTGACGTGGCAGCTGACTGGGTGCTGGTGGAAGATGGCAGTGAGCTGATGATGTGGCGGATGTGCACTCGTGGCGCTGATGTGTCGCTGACACAGCTCTGACTGGCTGATGACGTCAGCGATGACATCAGCTGTCTTCAACCTCTGGCCTGCGTGCAGAATCACGTCAGGGATGACGTCAGCGAGCTCCTCACCACCGGCGCGTGTGGTGGCTTCCGGTGGCCTAAAAATTACCAAAAATATCAGTTTTTCTCGTCTCGACGAGACGAATCTAACGGTGTATTCAGATTGCAATTCCGAGCAAAACTGAAAAACATGAATTTTCAGACAGTAGAATTTTATCAGAAAATTCCGGGGAAAAATACCAAAAGCTCAGCCAGGCTCTGATACCACTTGTTGGGAATAACAGGATCGTGCTAATATGAGAGAAAAACACTTCTATTACTTTCAAGAATAGAAAGAAGAGACATACAAGCTCTAATTAAAAACTCTCAAAAACAACACCTCACATATCTCTCAAGTATATTCACAACTCTTCTTGGTTGTGCTATGATGATCTATTCTAATTTACTTGATGATAGAAAGACTCTTCAAGCTCTCTATTTATAGCACCAAAACTAGGTACTATGAAGGTGGGAGGAAGGTGGGATTAAACATGAGGAAAGTTTGAGGAAGCTCCCTTTGTCATTCTTGCACATGGATGAAGCTTCATGGTTGTTGCTTGCACATGGAGGAAGCTTCATGGTTGTTGCAATTGAATTCTTCAGTATTGAATAATGATAGGAGGCGTTGTTAAGCATTAGTAAGGCTAGTATACCGTAATACACTGCCTAAGCAGCCTATCCAAGTTTTTTTTGTTGTAAATTGACTATTTTACACAAAATAACTGATAATATAAATAATGCTGTTCCTTTCAGATTTATAGAAAACACAAATGATACTTATAAAACATCCTAAATTTCAGCTAATTTCATAGAATTGTTGAAGTGACCTTTTGTATTTTTCTGCTGAAAAGCTACTTCATAGATAGTAAGTGGAAAGATACCAGTGTAAATTTAAAATATCACACGAAAATAAAAACATATAGAATAACTGTTATAAACCAATAAACGCATTGCTATCGCTTAAGATGAATAGTTTTTAACTATCTTTCTATTTCTAAAACATGATGCTTTTGATTGGTTTTAGTTTCAAGTCCATTACCTTCTATCAGGAATAAAATAATCAAGCATGTTTTTATCTGAACTCATATATACAAATTATTTCCCCCCTGAACTTTGTTATAGTTGATTTTAGGAGCTTGTGAGGCATTTTTTGTCAACGTATAACCATATCCAAAGCTGTAAAATTTTACTATGGCAATAGCATGCATTTGAAAGAAAGGCATGGACAGAAGACATACCGGGAATGTGAGTGCAGGTGGCGAAAATCCGATGCCAATTGAATAAGATGCATTTATAGGGCCATGGGAGTGAAGGATCGAGGTTGGGCGCGCCAATTGGAATTCCATAACCCGCACTGCAGAGGAGAGGATCGATTTGCAGTTACAAGGAGAGATTTACCGTTTCATAAATGCGAGATTAACGAATACTCACCTGCGAGGAAGGCGAAGGGATTAGCGACGTAAACCTGCGCGACCGAAGAAAGCGAATCGAGATGGAGCAAGAGAAGGAACCTGCGTGTGCGGCTCAGCGTATGCGGCTAAAGTTGGGCCGGTGGGAATCACAAACGGAAGGGTGATAACGGATGTAGCGGAGTCAGCACACTGTACGAGAGATAAAAGGCAGACTAATTGCAAAGTTTATCAATATTTAAGCATAATGTACATGTCAACACAGCTCATAGGACTACCAACAAAAAATCTATACCAAATAAAGGTCAACATATTAGTTTTATTTGCTGCGACGCAATAGTAAACAAAGGATTGAATTTTCTGTACATTTACTTTTCTTTCCTTATAGTTTTGTCACTTTGTGGCATCAACAATACGGTTAACCACAACAATGTAAAGGTTTCTCTTATTATTCCTAAGGCTTGTTTAGGTTTGGGCGTTTTAGTCAAAAGGCCAAGCTCAACTAAACAAACTTGTTTGATAATATTGAAATTAATTGAATTGATCGAAATTAATTGAAGTGATTGAAATAATTGAAAATCTTGAAGTTATAATTAAAGTGTTCGAATTAGTTGAAATTGCTGAATTATAGAAAAATTAGTTCGTATTAATTTATTAGGGAGGGGCATATTTGATAATTCCATCCCATTTTTGAAAGAAATCCTATATTTGTCCAAACTGTTGAAGGAAATTACTTTAATGTGCAAGCTTTCTAGCATGAACTACAATATATGCTAGAAAGCTTGCTATATTCAATCTATATTTACGAAGCCATAATTCTTGTACTACAATTCCCTCGTAATATATAAATATATTCTACTTATTTGTTTTATTTAATTCTTGCAATTTTCCGATCGATAAATTCTCTTAATCCAGAAATATTTAGACAATTTTTGGCTTAAACACGTGCAATTACCTTTCACTATGTTAGTAAGACAAATTTTGGCTTAAACGTGTGTATTTAATTTCCTTAATTTCCATGACATCTACGGAGTATTATTTTCAAAGAGACGGATTCATTCTGATAGTTTTTCATCTTTCGAGTCATATACTGATACATTTCATCTTTCAGTCCCAGATCGATAATTCGTCTATCTTTCAGATCCCAAATTCATAAAATTCCTATAATATAACATCAGAATGAATAATTATTTATATAGTCGAGTTACAAGTAGTTATTTGGGTGAATGGGTCAATTGAACTAGGTGGTCTCTTGTTCTCGGTGGGTTGTTAAGTTCTGGACCGGTGGCCGGAATGAGTTGGAAAGTTTTTTTGTTCACCATAGCTTAAAATGGGTTTGCATTCAACCGGGGTGAAGACAAGGAGGCGTTGAAGTGGGCCTTGGTCTCAGCAATAATTTTTTTTTTAAATATATATTGAGTGTATATTAAATTCTTAAATATAAATTGAGTATATATTGTGTATAAATACTTTAAATCTAGAGAAAATATATTAATATTTTAAACTTTGACCTCTGTAAGGTAAAATGTAAGATAAAATTCTGAAAGCATAATATATTGTTCTATCGGTAATTTTAACCTCTTCCTATTTACGGAGTACAACTGTACAAGTTATTCTTTTAACAGTTTTACTCTTAACATGAAGACCTTTTACTTCATTTGTTTTTTGGTATAACGATTTTTTCTGTGAAATAACTTTGAATATGAAGAGACAATTTCAGCTGATAACCTGCTAAAATATTAAACATCCCAAGCCGATTGAACTGAAAATTTTGTCAGTTTCAAAAGTTATTATATGCAGCATGCAACTCTTTGCCTTCCCCTCCATTTCTCCACAGGTATAAAATCGTCTTCAGGCCCCTCTCTTCTCCAGACATTCCTTAAAATCCATCAGACGTAAAACAAGTAAAAGAGTAGTAATGGCACCCACTGCTTCACTTTCTTATACCGCTCTCACCCTCAAAGCTCTTTTACTAATGTCTCTGGCAGCAGCTTCACTTACCACTGTTCTTTCAGCTCGATCCCTCTCAGTGACAGCCGCCGCCGCGGACCTTAGAGCGCGGCTGATGCTGGAAGAAGAAAATCCCGGTCAGGGTTCATCGGAATGCTGGGAGTCTCTGTTTGCCCTCCGCGCCTGCACCGGCGAAGTCATATTGTTCTTCATGAATGGCGAGACTTACCTCGGCCAGGACTGTTGCCATTCCATTCGCAGCATCCAAAAGCATTGCTGGTCCCATTCCTTGCTTGGATCCCTCGGTCTCACCTCTCAGGAGTCTGATATTCTTCGTGGGTATTGCGACGCCACCGCCGCTGAAGATGGTGATGGTGAATCTGCCCGGCCACCGCCTACTCCTCCATCGCGTTGTCTTACTACTCAGCCTACCGTTCCTACCCCTTCCCTACCACCTTCCACTTTCAGCTTCCCCATAGATCTGAATTTTTGATCCATAATATCATGATGTAATAATTGAAGGAAAATTTCATCAAATAAATGAATTTGTGGTTTTCATACACAATTAAAGTCAAGTTTAGGCGGATTTATTATCAGCGCAGTCTGTAATTTTTCTTCAAACATACTCTAAGAGCATACTTATATGAATCTCTAATTTCTACAGTTTGCGATTTTGAGTTTGAGCTGCAAAACACTAACACAGTTTTAATGGTTTCTTAAAATGTAAAAGATGAGATTACTACAGATCATCTCCCTGGCCCTCCCTGGGGTGATTATTGCGGCGGTGATACTTCCGGCAACTGCTTCTAATTCCCACGAAATGGTGATTTCCGCGCCTCACATATCTAGACCCCTTTCCCCTTTTCACCTCCGGAATTGCCGGTGCTACTGTTGCAGCTGGAATAGGTGGTTCTATTGTAGACGTCTTAGCCGTTTGTGCTGCGGGATGGTGCGGTGCAAATTCAGACGTCTTAGCCGGTGGTGCCGCGGGATGGTACGGTGCAAATGTAGACGTCTGGCCTGGTGTTGCAACCGTGAGAGGCGGTGAAACTGGTGGCGCTTGAGCCGGTGTTTCCGCCGGAAGATAAGGTGAAACTGAAGGCGTCGAGGCTGGTGCTTTAGCCGGCGGCAGAGGTGATAATTCTGAAAGGGTCTGGGACGGTGGTCCCACTGGAAGAGGCGATGCTATTGGAGGCGCCAGGCTCGGTGTTTCCGCAGGGAGATGCAGAGCTACAGAAGGCGTCGAGACCGGTGTTGTTGCCGGAACGGGCAGTAATACTGTAGGCGTCTTGGACGGTGTTCCCTCTGCCAGAGGCGGTTCTACTGGAGGGGCCATGGCCGGTGTTTCCGCCGGGAGATGTGGAGATACTGAAGGCGTTGAGGACGGTGTTCCCGCCGGAACGGGCATTAATACTGTAGGCGTCTCTGCCGGTGTTTCCGCAGGAAAATGCGGTGCCACTGAAGGCGACGATGCCGGTGTTATAGCCGGAACAGGAGGTAGTACCGCAGGAGTCTCCGCCTGGAAAGGCGGTGATACAATAGGCGTCAGTATTGACGCCGGTGAGTTCCGGCAGGTATGAAGGGCGTCAAAATCATCTTGAGATGGACTAAAACCTGTTCCGTTCTCTCCATTGCATTCCTCGTACGGATGAGTATAACCGTTCATAAGAATTCCGTCGAGTCCGTGAACGGCGATGATTGAACCGACATACAGATCTGGATCTGAGAGCGTAACTCCATCTACAGTCACGGATGCGTGATCGGTTCTGTAGATCAGGATGCTGTAGTGAGGGAGAAGCGTTTCTAGGAAGGGAGATGAGAGGTTATGAAGGTCGGAGAGGGTGAGAAGGCGGTTGGGAACGATATGGTAGCGGAGAGCGGCGACATAGTCAGCCGCATCGGAGGCCATGTCTAGGGCGTAGAGAAATGCGTCCTTCGGAGCGAACAGAGTGAAGGATGAGCCGGCGGTGGCAATTATTGAGGAGGTGGAGTCAACGGTGGCGTTGACGGCATCGTCGTCGTCTGTGGAAACGAGTTGGACTTGGAGGTCAGAAGTGGCGATGGCATTGCAGAAGAGATTGTAGCCGCTGGACCTTAGGACACCGCACATCGCCTCTAGTTCCTGAGTAGTACCTGAATCTGCACTGTCGTCCGCGGCGGGAGCGGCGGTGGCGAAGAGGAGGAAGAGAATATTAAGATGAAAGAGATAGGCGCGGCGTCGGAGAGCGGCCATTGTTCTGATATTTGGCGCTGCAGACAACTGGATTCAGTTTTGGCGGTTTCAAGATACCCTTCAAAGTAAGCTGAAAGGCAGAGGGCACTTATCAGTTATCACACTCCCTTTTTTTTTTCAAATACGAGAGAGTATCACTTATCAGTTATACTTTGATTATTTTTGTATAATACTCTCTCGTCCCTCGATACTTCGTTTGATCGGCTCGAAAAATAATAAAGTAAAAACTGTGTAGTTGATATATGTTCGGAGGAGAGAGAAATAATAGGAATCATAAATTCATTGATTAAATAAGAAAGTAGCAAAGTTTTTGGAACACAAAAAAGGAAAGATGACAAAGTTATAAGGAGCAAAGAGAGTAAATAATACTCCGTACCATTTTCTTTTCATACCATGCTTATATTTTTCACTATTCACATATTTTACTTTGACTATATTTTATTAATTAATGTATTAAAAATTAAATTTTTAAATTCAAAATATGAATTTTTTAAGTTTTTTTCTAATAAGAAATGAAAGATATAATGGTCAAACTTGTGCGTTGACAAACGTGAAATGTTGATTGTTGCGATTAAAAAGGAACGATGATAACTGTTCTATCCCGTCATCTGATAGGATATATGAGATATTTTAAATTAGGATGAAACGGTTAATCCAATGATGATAAATTTTATATTCATGCATAAAAGAGGTTCAATCCAACACAAAAAAGTTATAACCTCCACAATATCATTGTGAGATCATTGTGAGTGTTAATGCTTAATCATTCCAAGGAAGCGGTGGTTTAATGATTTGAAGGTCAGTAGTAGGAGCTAAAAGGGGGAAGTGAAAGAAATTCTTGAGAGTATGTTTAGAAGTTACAAAATTAAATAGAAAGCGTGTAAAATTATGATTAAAATAAAATAGCTTGAGAGATATGACTAATTCATATACACATGTATTCGTTTTAGGTTGAGCCAAAGTGTTACTCGGTATTTATTTGGCCATCCCTCGAAACTCAATGTGGTGGAACTTTTTTTTATCATAAAAGAACGGTCGTTATATTAAAATCGAGAACAAATACAAGACAACTTTCAGACAGAAATTACAGATCCAATCGTGAATCCTAGGAGTAGATTTAGAGTCAGCCACCTCATATAAAGCAACATGACTCGCTAAATCTGAAACGAGCAAATTTAGGCCTAAAACGATTAGAACCAAAACTCTGCCTATCAAAAGAACTCCAAAAATCCAAACATTCAAACCAAATCTGCTCGTACTAAAACAGAAACAAGTGCTACTAAAGAGAAAATAATATTGAAATAAGATCCTTCCACAAAGCTCTTTCTGGTATGGAGGTGATTCCGGAGAAGGACGAGCTCTTACCATATGGATGAATACAAACTCCACCACCGTCGGAATGGCCGACCAAAGCTTCATGATCCCGCTTTGATACAACCTCAAAGTCACACCTCGTTCATCCGTCAACGCTATCTTCTCTGACATAGTTGCAATTCCAAGCATTAGAACGCTTAAAAGTAGTATAATCTGCCGCTTCAACCCCATATTGATAGGGGCGGTGGAAAATCTCAACCCCTACAAAGAGGGGAGACGGCCGCTAGGGTTTCTCTATCTCTAGAGAGAAGAGAGAACCGTGTTTCAATGTAAAAGTTCAAAAATCCAATGTGGTTGAACTTAAAAACAGAGCTTGTGAAAAGTTTATGAAATTACATCTTACAAAAAATCAAAAAATCATCCATTTCAATTTTATACTCCCAAATAAGAAAGTGAGGAACATAAAACCTTCTCATCTTCTACTCCAAAACCTAACTCCTGAACATACAAAAATACTCATAAGACCCGAGCTTGAAAATTTTCTAACATGGGGACCAAAGCTCTACATTTGTTTTTTGTTTGTTTAGTTTATAAGAATTGTACATACATATTCTTTAGTTGATGGTGATTGGTTACTCCCAATAACCTCTCAATGTCTTCACCGCAACCAATATAAAAAAGGTTAAATGGTCAAATAAACCCCTGTACTTGTCTGTAATGCTCAATTTACTCTCTGAATTAACAAAAGCTTCAATTGACACCTTGAACTGAATAAAAAATTTCAAATTTGACAATTTGCAGGTAACCATCCGATCACACCACGTTATCAGGTCATGTGCCAACTGTGCATCTGAGGTGACAACTCAAAGGTTCAAACAAACCCCTAAACCCAACCAAATTGTTCAATTCACCCCATCAACCGTTAAAAAATGTCAAAATTACGAAAAATAAAAAATAAAAAGTAAAATACAGGGGCCTATTTGATCCTATAAATATAGATCGAAGTTTAAAAAGCTTTTCTATCATCAAGTATTAGATCATCATAGCACAATTAAAAAGAGTTGTGTAATATACTTGATTACTTGAGAAACTTTTTTTGAAAGGTGTTAGTTATAGCTTGTATATCTATTATTTCAATTGGAATTTTATCAATTCAGGACCCGAAAGATAGATGAATTATCAATTCGGGACCTGAAAGATGAGATCTATCAGTATAGGACACGAATGATGAAAAACTATCGATCTAGGACCTAAAATTTCATAGATTTTGATTTATTTAATTTTTTATTAATTCCATTGCTAATTTTCGATAAACTTTTCTTCACAAAAGTTTATTATTTTCATAAAACTTTATAATATTTAAAAAATTTAAGATAAAAAAAATAATAAAATTTCGGACAACTTAGGTCCTAAATTGATAATTTCCAATCATTCAAGTCCTAAATTGATAGTTTTCCATCTTTCGGGCCCTATATCGATATATTTCATCTTTCAGGTCTCGGATTGATAATTCATCTATCTTTCGGGCCCTGAATTGATAAAATTCCATTTCAAGGAATTTTATTATTCTTGAAAGTAATAAAAATATTTTTCTCTTATATTAGCTCGATTCTTTAATTCCTTAACACAAATTAATATGTGACACAAATCTAATTTATAATGTATTTACATTATTAGAAAACAATTATAACACATAATTTAGATAATTAACACAATAACGCAATCAACTACCACATTTACAGTATACACCGTATTAGGTGTTACGTGGAATAATTAAAATACACTGCAAAGAGAAGCATAAATACATTTATTTTGTTGATGTGTGTTGATTATAAACGTAAAATTATATTGCCAAACTGTGTGAAAAATTCTAAAAATATAATGCACTTACTAAAAATCCTAAATAGAACCTCTAAATAAAAAAGCATGTGATAACACTAAATTATAAGGGAGATTGTTTTGGAATTTCAAAATAAGATTGTTATGTTTTTCTTCCCGATATAGGAATCGCTACCGTCATGATTGAGAAATACTGACATTTAATGTCATTTTTAATGCCTAGTAATGCAACTATTTGGCATTAATGACGACAAGATGACAATATATACGTCATGTTACTCCTATTTCGGAAAGAAACACATAATAGGCCTAATTTGAAAATCCAAAACCTATTTACTCCTATTTGGGAACTTTGCCAATTATAAAATAATTAAGTTTAATTTGAGGGCATTATTATTTTAAGTATTTTGTTTGATGGGGATAAATATCTACCTGGTAGCTTTTGTACTATTTAAAATGCTTTTAAAATGTTCTAGTTGAAAAGTTACGCTGAGTAGCATATGAGAAAAATCTGTAGCTTCTATAATTAATTGGTCGCAACAACTTGTATACCAAACAACACTCAATCAAAGATTTAATTTATTATCAAATCGTTGTCACCATTTTCTTTTTAATATTTTTTCAGTTACTAAAAACTAATAATTATTAAAAAAAATCACATAGGGTAATTAGATTTGGGACAAGATGGTAGTTGTTTGTTTTTTTGTGGAAGAAATGGGCTTATATTATAATATCATAATCCAAACAGGTCACAATAAGATCATATCTCCTACTCAGTTAATAGAAATAGATCATTTGAATACCTCGCTTAATTACTTTCTCCAAACATCAAAATGATTAGAATATAATCTACTAGCTTTTCAACCACGAGTTGTAAGTTTTGAGCTATTACTTTGCACACTTCTTTTTTGTTGGTTGGTCCTATACTCCTATATCATATACGGTCATATTTATGTTGCTTCACAATCATATACGTAGTATACTACAATTCCATATGATACATCTTACATCCCAATTAGACTTTCCCTAAATTGATATGAAACTTTCCTAGCTCCATACTGAATGAAACAGAGGAAATAATTAGCAATTGCTACCTACAGACTTATAATGATCAATTAGCTTATCAGCTTGTTTTGCAAAACATAGCCTAACTTGTTTTTTTTTATCAAACTATCTCAGTCAACTGAGGTAATTTATGTAATCCCAACATTTACATGGGCACTTTACTTTAATCCTTTGCATTTGCAATTTCAAATACCTACAGTGCGAGACCGTATTAAAAAACAACTTAAGTGAGCTATGGCACATCCCATTTATGTCCCGTTAATCCTCTTCAGTAAAAACCTTTACGAGCATACCAGGCAATTGTTAAAAAAGTTGGTAGATATATAAGAGAATTTTCATGCATTTGATTTTTTTTGTAATGAATACATTATTCTTACTCTTTGAGCTTGCTGAAACTCACTGCCCACAGTTCATATTTCATTGCGTCAAAATGTATTTCAACTTCCCATTCACTGTATATCGTTAAACATGATAGAATATAAAAGTAACGATAGCTTTCACAAATTACAGTGGAAGGAGTTGGTGAGATCAATGACAAAACGGTACTTGACATCAGACTTGGCGAGTCGTTCCATGGCAGTGTTGATGTAGTCCATTCGGATCACCTCAACATCTGCAGTTATGTTGTGCTCTGCACAAAAATCCAACATTTCCTGTGTCTCTTTAATGCCTCCAAAGTCACTCCCCCCTATAAGTTTCCTACCTATATGATGGATGCAGGAAGTTAAAACACTATCTTGTACCTACTCAGGTAGTCAGGTGTGTCAAGTAACTTAGTCTTACCTGCAACTAAAGGGAATACTGGCAATTCAAGAGGTTTTTCAGGCAAGCCAACTGTCACAAGTTTACCGTCCAATTTCAGCAAATTGAGCAGCGGGGCTAAGGGGTGAACCGCGGCGATAGTATCAATAATAAAATCCATTGTATCTGCAGCAGCCTGAAAGAACAAGCACATTACTGAAACAAAACGGTTTATGATAATTCATAATTGAGTTAGCACTTAGCAGTAGTTATATCCATCATTCTGCTTAGACTAAGGATAATCCATTATTCCTCTTAGACCAAGGGCTTTTTCATTTTAGCTTTGGCTGCCGTGTAGTGAAAAGTCATACATACAAATATACAATTTTCATCAAACCTCAACTGGATTCTTACATGCACTGTTGCAGTGAAAGCTTTTTAATTGCAATTTGCCATCTCCAAAGAGGTCAGTTTGATTTGTTTTATCTTAATTATTATTAATTCATTTTTTCTCAACATATTTTTGTTGATTTTATAAACAGATCTATCATTATTTTAAAAAATACTTATTAATCAAAAAGCAGTTTCCCATAGTCGAACCACACCATCAAAGCTATGTTATGGGGAAATTAATTCAAATACCCTAAACTATGGAATATATATTAAGGAGTAATAATGAGTATTGTGTTACAAGTAATCTCAGCACCATAACCGCAGATTTTTTCTTTCACAAATGTAAGTTTAGGGTCCTAAATGCGCAACTTTAATACTCTGAAGTTTGGGGTGTAGAGTTCACTCATCTTATAATTTAGGGTAATTGAATTGCATCTCCCTCATTTTATATAAAAAATATCAACTCTATTGCATCTCATATCACAACTATGTTGTCACAACAGAGCTCAGCTCACAGCTAGAACAAACGGACCCCAAGACCACACACTGCTAACCCCCTCCAGGAAGTATGACCCCTGTATAGAGCCTATTACTTTTTAATACATTAGTTAGAAATGTTCGTAAGAAGAGTAAAGAGTGTTTACATTATTAATTAAGCTGCTGATTATTATGTACTAATTACCTGTAATTGGGCAGAATCAGTACTGACAAGGAAGGAATCAGCTCCAAGTTTGTTAATAGCCTCATCTTCCTTATTTGGGGATGTACTGATGACAGTCACTTTCAACCCAAATGCCTTTCCCAATTTCACTGCAATATGACCAAGCCCACCAAATCCAGCCACACCAAGGTGCTTCCCTGGCTCTACCATCATCCCGTAGTATTTCATTGGGCTATAAACGGTGATCCCGGCACATAACAAAGGAGCACCAGCATGAGAAGGCAGCTTATCTGGGAAGCGAAGCACAAAGTGTTGATGAACAACAATCTTGTCAGAATAACCACCATATGTATATGTGTTGCGGCCATCTTGATCCTTGGAGTTGTAGGTGAATACCTTTTTAGGGCAGTAACTCTCCAAATCTTTGTCACATATGTGGCATGTCAGGCAGGAACCCACTATCACACCAACCCCAACCCGGTCACCACCTTTGAACTTTTGAACATTACTCCCTGTCTGGGTAACAATCCCTACAATTTCATGCCTGTGCCCACAATTTTTGTCAAATTAAGGATGCAGTCATGTTTACATTTTTCTTAGTGTCAACTTGAAATGAGGAACCGTTCACTGGTTTTATATTTTTTATTTCTATGATTAGGTGATGTGGGAAACTCTTCAGAACTCACCTAATTCTTGATTTTGCCCCCGAGTGGTAAGGATGAGGCAAGTGATTGGTTAACGATCGAAATGAACTTCATCCAAGTAAAGACATACAAACATTTCTTTATGGCTTTATGTGAGTATACTACTTATTTTCAACTTCAACTGTACTTCAGATAAGCCTTTTCATATTTTCCTCACCACTTCAAATGTATAAACACTACAGTAATAGTAAACCTTTATGGCTTTATGTGAGTATACTACGTATACGTATTAAACTTTCATACTATCCAGAAAAGTTTATGAATGACAGAATAGGAAACATTAATAAAAAATTGTGAAAGGATTTTCATGTTTTATCATGATCATATATTTTAGGTCTTAGAATCAATGGTGTGGAAAACTAAAATTAGCAGCAGATTACTTACTCATTCACTGCAAGTAAGCTAAAAAATGGTCAATCTAGTGATCTACAAATAAAGAAAATAATAAACCTCCATCTCCCCTAGGCAGGTTTTAAAATCTTCCAGAGGGAGGAATACATAACCATTGAAGATTAAGGAATCATCAACTGATTAAAAAACCATCATATGATCATTTACCGCTAATATACCGGATTGCTAAAAGTCTTTCTGCATTATTACCAGTTTCTGATTTCTAATGACCCTCCACAAAACACTCCGCTTTTGCAATAAATTCTAGATGAGTTGGTTCATTACACTCCGACCAAAATAACCTGTGAAGCATCCATTCAAATTAAGAGGCACATGATCATGATCCCATCTATATGTCAAGAAGAACCCAAAAATAATCATAAAAAGAAAGTCAATAAGACCACTTAAGTTTTATGTCATACCCAGGCACAATTGGGTATTTTGTGAAACCCCAATCATTCTTCACGCTGTGTAGGTCAGAGTGACAAACACCACAATAGTGTATCTTGATTGTTACATCATCAGGCCCACTGTCTCTGCAAATTGTCAACACTATAGAATTCAATCTTCAGTTAAAACAATGAATAACCAATGTCAACTCGGTCAAATGAAAAGAAGATGTGAAATTTGTCTTATGCCCTCCGTTTTTACATCAAATTGAACTGTGATTCCCATGCGTAAAGATCTTTGAGTTTGAAACGCATTCTTATCATCACCATCATCATTATTATGCTAAATACCTTCAGAATACAGTTTAACTGCTAGATAATTCCACATTTTCCCCCATTTACAAATGAGAAATTTGGATTTTGCACATCATTTTACATCAAATTTGGACTTGCGCCTTACTCTTAATATGCCTTAAGAGAACACTATAATTGTGTTAATGGAAATTCAGCAAGTGCAAATCCAAATATAACTGGTTGCGAGAGCCAATTTTCATCAATATAAAACAAATATCATTATAACAAATTTGGGAACATACTCCCCACTTCATTAGCAATCTACCTGAAAACAAACACTAAGTTCCGAAACTCGTTAAGCTCGAAACTCCATATGCTCAAATGAAAAAGTGCTAAATTTAACAGGGCAAGGTACTCCGTATCTTTTTAATAAGTTAGTTATATAAAACTTAGAAAACTACGGTTTTCTAATGCAATCACGGTTTCATACAATATCAAAATGTAATCTCAGAACCAATGAAGTACTGAAGACAGGTAGATCGAGCATACCTGTATAAGATTAAAAGATGAAGAAATGAAGAAACAGCATATGCAGAGGCAATGATCGGACGTTTATACGGAATGGTGTGTATACCTGCGGGAGAAACTGAAAGGAGAGAGAATCCCTGAGGAGTCTCTGGCAGCCCAGCCAAAAGCCTTGTTTGGGTGCTCGTTTTCTGGGAATGCTGCCATCTTTCTGCGTCGTTGGGATTTCTGTGTGGGGGGTGGGGGGTGGGGATAGTGGTGTGGTCATTTCCGGTGTACTTTCAATCAATTACGGGATATATAAAGCGGGATGCCCGGACCCACGATTTCAAAGTGATTTTCTTTTATCATCCAAACGACTTTTTAATGTTTTCATCATTATAGAGCAAACATACGAGACAAAATCCGGACAACAATTACAAATCTTATCGTAAGTTCTTGGAATAGATTTAGAGTCAGCCACTCGACACAAAACAGGCAAGAAGAAGCCTAAAACAACTGAAAATGAAGCACTGTCTATCAAAAATTCTTCAAAAATCAAAATAATCCAACCATACTTGCTTGAACTGGGAAAAAATAAGTAATTGTTGCTTTGTATGGCCCAAATTGCTTCCTCGCACGGAGGTGGTTCCGGTAGAGGGCGAGCTGCTGTAATATGGTAGAAGAGAATTTCAACCTGGAAAATTCGTTTGAAACCCTATCCTTCTTGCGTTCCACTCACGTTCCGAAACTCCTAAAAGGAAAACCGCACGAAACTCTCGTTCCATGAGAATCCAAGCCGCACGAGCGAAGCTCGGTGGAACAAAAAACCCTAACTATGTAGGGAGATGACCGCTCCTCAACAATATCGATAGCGGAGAGGAGGAAACCCTCAAGTTTGCCAAGTTTGACCGGCACAGGGATTAATAAAGTAAAAACTGTGTGATTGAGATTTGTATAGAGGAGAGAAAATTAACTGGAACCACAAATTCTTTAATTAAAAGGGAAAGTGACAAAGTTAGTGGGACAATCAAAAAGGAAAGTTGTCAAAGTTTTAAGGGATAGAGAGAGTGTTAAATTTGAAAAATATTTAAACTCTGCTACTTCCCTTTTCTTTAATGATAAGAGTAAAATATGAGTTTTTCAAAGTATTACTTTGAGAATAAAAAGTGATAGTCCTATTCTAGAATAAACAAACATCTTTAGATCTATTTAGGATGATTTCCCTTTTCTTTAATGATAAGAGTAAAATATGAGTCCAAAGTAATAAGTCTCTAGATATGATTCCAAGCTAAGTTAGTGTTTGGGATTGATTCTGCTTGTTCTTATCTTTCACAAACATAAACAAGAAACAAAATCATAATCAGATTTTTAGGAGCTAGTTTCTTCCAGCTTCTAAAAACCTGCTTTTAGGAGCAATTTGGACCACTCAGAAATACTTTTATACTTTCTCACCCAAACACTCCAATATATGTTTCTACTCTCTGAAAGAGCAGAACCAACTTTAAAACGTAGATTCAAACACTCCCTAAATCTCCTTTAAACAGTACGGAGTACTAAACATTAATTTTCTACCCTTCATGCCTATAATTTAATTAATTAAGGGAAAATTCCCGAAATAGGACTAAAACAGTTTGAAAATTTCAAAATTGGATTGTCATTTTTTTTATTCCCAAAATAGGAGTAATTACTGCCAAGTTTAGAAAATACTACCATGTTTGAAGTCTGGTACTGTCAAAACATGGCAGTAATTACTCATATTTTGGGAATAAAAACATGACATTCTTATTTTGAAATTTTCGAACCTTTTTAATCCTATTTTGGGTAATATTCTCATTAATTAATTGCTCCCTAGTCCCTCCCTGACATTACCGGATCTCTCCATTGTTAACGGGCAGCACAGTGATGGTGGTGGTGACGATAGAGCTCTGCCGTCCGGTGCTAGACGACTCTTGATTAATGGTGAATACACTGGAAATTTTCGGTCGATTTCGTGGACCAGCGGTAGCTCCGACAGCAACTCCAACTGGTGTATCAATGTCCAAGTTTTCAAATACTTCTATGGATTACACTTTTCTTTGTTTTACTCTTATTTGAAAAATTACCTCGATGTTTAACAGCCAGCGGATGGGAATTGGGAAGAGACTTATTTAAGGTATGACTTGTTTAATAAATAAACTAGCCTCCATATTTTTTTCTAAATATTCTTCTAAAACTATTATAGTATCTGCTCATGTTAATGTCAATATCCTTGATTGGATGAGATTCGAACATGCGACTTCCTCTTTCGGAGATCAGCAATGATGCCATAAGACCACAAGATACTTGTCACTAGCTTCTATCTTTTAAAGAAACTCATTTGTCTAAATAGTTTAGCTTAGTCGAACTCTATGATTGGCACACACACACACATTTGTCTAAATAGTTTAGCTTAGTGTGTGTGTGTGTGTGTGTGTGTGTGTGAGAGAGAGAGAGAGAGAGATACTGTGTGTGTATTTTATTTTAACACATCCAAATGCATAATATACTTATATACATGCCCAACTCTCAATTTATCACTATATAATTGTATTATTAATGATGTTTTTATGATAGGAAGTTTTTACTAGTAAGAAAATACTAGTGTTTTTGTTTGCTTCTATTTAATTTAATTTAATTTAAAGAGTAAAAGTGTGAGTACTCGTCAAAAAAGTGATTTTCATTGTAATATGTTTAAAGTACAAAAATGTCCTTACATAGATTAAATCTGCAAATTAAAAATTATAATCTTTTCTTGCGTGCATCGCTGCCTGGATGATGACCCCAATGAAGATTTATGGACAAAAAAGAAGCTTTTATAAACTTAGAGACAAGTCGTGTCAATAGGATTTATGGTGAGAGAAGAGGGTTTGAGAAGCTTAGGAATGGACAGAGATCGATGATAATATATGGTAGAAAATAAGTTGTGAGAAACTTATTAGTGATTAGCAGTGTGTCCAACGAAGATTTATGAGTGCCTTAATATTTGTGGTGCCTTCGAATTACCTCAATGACCAATGAAAAAGAAGATTTGACAAAACAAGGATCTAATTCACCAATGAATTGAAAAGGGAGATTTTATTTCCGGATGACGTGATGTAAACGGGGTATTACTCGATATGCGCTATAATTTTAGCATAAACTTTATCGGTTTGCATTATTTACAAAAAAACTTTGAAGTAGGTAAAGGCATCCTGTGATTACTATTAGCTCTAGCTTAAAAGTGATTAAATTAAGCTGAAATTTCTATTTGCAAAGAATGCTTTTGGTTTTTTCAAGATGAAAAGTTGAAAAGTACCTAAAAAAATCAGTTGCAAATATTGCCTGTTAGCTTTGCTAAATTTCTCACTTTGGCACCTCGAGGAGAAAGTGGGTTTCCATGCAAAATTGCAAACTAGGAGCATCTCCAATATTGTATTCCATTGATGCAAAAGTGACAAAATAATGAAGAGGTTCATTTCAAATGTGGGCAAAAAATTTAAAGAAAAGAAGGATCGATTCATATATAACTCCAATGCATTTGTAAAACATTAACAAAACAAGAAAAGTAAACTAAATAAAAGGAGAACAGCTAGTGAGTAGCCGAAGGCTTTTGTGGTGGCCCCCCAGGGCCAAGGTCTCAATATGGACCTCCTCCTAGACTTTGTTCCAGATTTTCAAATGCAAGATTTTGCATCGCAGAATAGATTTCCATTTTAATAATGCATTTGATTGTGTGGAAGTGCAATCCATTCCTTCATTGATAGAAAAAGAAAAATCTAAATATATTTATGATACTTTAACCCTCTTGACTTTAAAAAATGTTTCAGAACTTTTATTGTCAGTGAGTTGCAACTCTCATTTAAATCATGCTAATTATGTCCGCAATTGGTATGATACTTCCAGAGTTCCAGTATACGAAATTTGATTCTTGATGTGCTATCTCTCAGGTTGAAGGTCATATGTTTGAATCGTTGTTGTTAATCACCATAATACACACACACGCATACAACCTTCCCAGTTTGCACACAAACCAGGCCTTCTCACCATCCTCACCTCTATTCACACTGCCCATAGAGATCCATGTTAATCACCCATCTTTAGAAGATTCATCACTTCCCTATCTCAATTTTATGCATAACCATCACCAGCATTACTTTGTTTAAGTTTCAAAAAATTGGGAAGTCAGGTGGATGAAAACTGAATAACATCCTAAAGAAGAATCTCCAACTTTTTTCTCCCACATGTTTCTCCATAAGCTGCCAGCATCTCTTTCCCAGACTGGCCAAAATTGTCTGCTCACATAATCTTCTTTAACACCACTGTCTTTACTCAATTACATTCCTAAACCAATTTTCCCCCATAATTTGCCAAAAAAACCTGGTTTACAATGACTTCCAGTTACTTGAGATCCTGTGTTAATTTTAATAATAGAATGTGCATCTACTGGAACATCTTCAACCGACGACTCCTTCCGTCCTTTATGTGACTCTTCCGCTTTTGGTGCCTCCTGTAATTTAGTTGAAGAAGATTTCAACTTCTGTACAGAGCAAGGACTTGGTGCTGCCCTCTGCTGCTTCTGACCTTTGGTGAATGATGTTTTTGTAACTCCCACTTTACGAACAGAGGAAGCTTTTGGCGTATCAGAACGGTCCTGATGACAGGGAACAAGCGGAGGATTCTTCAGTTCCGGAGTCATAAAGGGATCTTCAAGAGGTGCCTTATAATGGCCATACCAAGAGCCATGAGGACCATCTGGTGGTTGATTAAAACGCTTCCCGTTAAGGTTCTCGCCACTAATTAGAGCATTCCATTGCCACATAATACTGGCAGCACTGCTAAGAGCATTGGGCACAGTTTCAAGACTGGCGAGCAAAATGTTGTAATTGTTCATTCTTAGTCGGTGTAGAATGCTGGCAAAATCTCTATCTCCTGAAATCAAGAAAAGGTGTGCTGGTGGGGGGTTTAGAGAAACCCAATACATAAGGTCAACAAGAAGAGACCTGTCAGCACTGTTCTTTCCACCTGAAGTAAATAAAAAGTCTTTCTGTTAAGTGAAATAATAGTTGGGGGCAGAAAACAATTGTAGGAATCCCATCAAACACCAGAAATTGAGACTGATCACCATATTAAAACAAGAATCATGTTAAACATATTCTAAGAGAACCTCAGCTTTGAGATAAATTTAGAACTGAAACTGAATATAGGAACTATCTCAGGTCTCAACTCATCATTATCTCGCCATATTTTCCATGCAAGTGGAAATAATCAATTATTATAATGGTTTTGGAGTTTCATATCATTATACCTTCATAAGAAAGTGCATTAAGAAGAGAATCCGGTGTAAAATTATGCCTCCGCTTTATTTCTTAATTTTGCCTGAAATTTGTGTTTAATATTTAGACAGCTAGATGACACTCTTAGTGTCCATTTAGCATTTGGTAACGTTATTTTTTAGTTTATCATCTTTACCATATACTCCCTCCGTTTTTTAAACAAGTTCCCACTTTCCTTTTTGGGTAGTTCCCAAATTAAGTTCCCCTTTCTTTATTTGGCAAATTAACTACATCAAAACAGTGCCAAACAGTGCAAAACAGTTCCAACTAGTGTCCAAACAGTGCCAAACAGTGTCAAAACAGTAAAATTTACCCTCAGTAATTTTTTTCCTTAAAAACTGTGAAAAGCAATGGGGAACTTGTTTTAGAAACGGAGGGAGTAGATGTTTTACCAACCTATAGTTTTCAGCTTGATGTGCTAAACTGGCAAATAAACAAGCAGGGTTGGACTTTGGAGGTACTTTTTTGCTGAATTGGCACAAAAGAGCTATTTTAGCTTTATTTCCAAAGCATTTGTTTAAACTTTATTAATAAAATATATTTTAAATTTATTTTTTTATACTTCATCAAATTCAGCCATATTTCACCAATAACTTTAGCAGATTAGGCCAATTTTAGTTTAAACAAACAGGGTTTAGAATGTAATGCCACCCATTGATTAAACTAGTTATTATTAATGTGATAGATGCTGAACGGAATCTCAAATAGCAGAATTAACTGTTGTTTGTGAGAATCAAACTGATTATATTTGAAGTGCAGGAAGACATGAAAACTATTAATGATGCATCACATATTGAAGCCAATGGCTGAGCATTTATCGAACCAAGGAATAGGCATGGACCGGTTCCGGTTCGGGCCTGGGCCCGGACGGGCCTCGGTTCAAGAAGGGGAGGCCCGGAACCGGCCCGGGTAACCCCCGGGTCCGGGCCGGGCCGGGCCGGGCCTCGGTTCTTTTTTTTTTTTTTTTGGCTTTTCCTAGTTAACCCCCAACCCGCCCCCTCACCCCCAAACCAACCCTAACCACCTCAAATGGCCCAAAATACCCAACCCAACCCAAAAACTTAAAACAAATTCAAAAAAAAAAAAAATGGCCCGGCCCGGGCCCAAACCGGCCGGGCCGGTTCACCTTTTGAAGGGCCAATTTTAGTTTAACCAAACAGGGTTTAGAATGTAATGCCACCCATTGATTAAACTAGTTATTATTAATGTGATAGATGCTGAACGGAATCTCAAATAGCAGAATTAACTGTTGTTTGTGAGAATCAAACTGATTATATTTGAAGTGCAGGAAGACATGAATACTATTAATGATGCATCACATATTGAAGCCAATGGCTGAGCATTTATCGAACCAAGGAATAGGCATGGACCGGTTCCGGTTCGGGCCTGGGTCCGGCCGGGCCTCGGTTCAAGAAGGGGAGGCCCGGAACCGGCCCGGGTAACCCCCGGGTCCGGTCCGGTCCGGGCCGGGCCTCGGTTCCATTTTTTTTATTTTTTTGGCTTTTCCTAGTTAACCCCCAACCCTCCCCCTCACCCCAAACCAACCCTAACCACCTCAAATGGCCCAAAATACCCAACCCAAACCAAAAACTTAAAACAAATTCAAAAAAAAAAAAAAATTGGCCCGGCCCGGGCCCAAACCGGCCGGGCCGGTTCACCTTTTGAAGGGCCCGAGCCCGAACCGCCATCCCACCGGGCCGGTTGGCCCGAACCGGGCCCGGAACCGGTTCACCGGGCCGGGCCAGGCCCGCACAGTAGCGGGCCGGTCCGGTTCCGGGCCGGTTGGCCCGGCCCGAGTCCACCCCTACCAAGGAATGAATCTTATGGCAGAAATGGCATTCTAGAACAAACAATGCCGTAAAGGCAATTCATTGGAGTACCCTTCCAAGCCGGAATTCCCATTTATGTGTGGGATTATTACACATAACAACAAAATTAAACAAGAAATGCCATCAAGCACTGAATAAAAGATGATTATTTTACTATATTCCAGATTTCAACACTGCTTTTTTGAAACGTGAATAATAAAAAACAGTAATTTCTATAAAAACATAATAACTTCAAAGAGAGAGATTTACCGTTGGGGACGTGAATGAAAGTGATTCCCGTGGAAGAAATGACGTCCTGATTAACACGCGACATCTGCATTAGGTCCCCAAACGCCGTGATTTGGATGGGACCCTTGATCCCATTAGCCCTAATGGCGGTATTGATACTCTGGGTCACCCTAAACAAATTGGAGCCAGTCGGTAAATTGCAATTCTCGAAATCCCACCATACCGAGACCTTAACATTTCGACTTTCTACCACGTGTCGGCGGGAGGAGGAGGATACATTGTCGGAGGAGTGAAATGTTGCGTTGAAGAAATGTGCGATTTGAAACAGAGAGTTTGCAGAGATGTGGAAAGATATCGCTGAATTAGGTCTTGTCGGAAACAAGGGTTTCATGTTTGCCGTTAGGAAAGAAAGGATGCTACCTCGTTTGAGTCGTTTTCATTTAGCGGAATAACTCATTTTAATACAAAGTTTAATTTCAAGACAGAAGTCCCTTACTCGCGGTGGCGGATCTTAGTAGGGGGTGGGGGGTCTGGAAAGGTCCGGTAAATCGGTAAACCCATAATGTATCCGTGAGATTTTTAATGGTCCGTTACGGTTTGCTTCCAAGGATAGGATCGTTCGGGGTACTATGTCGTTTCAGAACGGTACAAAACGGTACGGTACAATGCCAAACACATGCTAAAAATTTTGAAAAAATCTTGCAACCAACTCACATGAAATGTTGAAATAAATACAAGAAATTGCATATGTAGTATTAAAATTCACAAATACACAAATAGTGCAACACAACTAAGAAAAGTATAGCAAAACGATGACGCACGAGACAACTATCATTTTTAATTTACTAAGTTCATGTGAAAAAATGAAAATGAATATCATCAAATTGTTGAATATAATAGAAATCTGCAACGTTCTTCTTCTTCGTTCTAGAGTAAATATTACTCCGTAGTTCTAATTTAATTTATAGTTGAACCTTGAGAGCTAAGTTTTAAACCATATTAATTAAGTTGTAAAAATTGCACAAACATGATACAACAAAAAGTTATGTACACTACATTACTAGAAATAAATAATCATTAATGATTTCTAAAATTTTAATATTCTTTTAATACATACCAAAATATAACATAAATTATCTAAAAAGAAAAAATAACAATATATATATATATACAACACATTTAGATATCTTAGGGACACATGAATACATACTTGGGGTATAAAATTGTTGGTCTATAAAAGAGATCTAATGATATAGAAAAATATAAAAATTCAAATGCATTATTTTCGAACGGTTCGGTCCGGTATTTTTCGGTTCTCAAAATCTAGGACCGATCCCATACCCGTTTCAAACGGTACGGTTTCGGTAAGGGATAAAAATCTGTAGAACTGTTTAAATACCCGGTATTCGGTTCGGTACCATTACGGGACGATTCGGTACCGATTCGGTTCGGGTTTTATGCCCACCCTAGATCTTACCACTAAAACATTATATAAAAAATTATTACATCAATTTTTGTAATTGTTTTTTGTATTTGTATTTTTAAAATTTTGGGTGTTCACATGAACACCCCTGAACATAGCTGATCCGCTCCTGCTTACTCGAAACAATCATTCTTGTTGTACCCACTTTTATACCTATCATGTCTCTGTAAAGGTTTTTTTTGTCTATTAATCCGGTTCATAGACAAAATATGTCTTATTTTGTCTGTACAAAATTTGCACAGACATATTTTGTCTGTGAACATGATTCACAGACAAAAAAAACATTGCACAAACATGGTGGATATAAAAGTGGGTATAAGGTTGGGTACAAACATCATTTTTGTAATCGAAGTAAAGGTGGAGCGATCCTCTCGCGCCAGCGTCGGAGGATACGCCGCCAAAGCTATTTGGGACTTTTAAGCGAGAAACTTTTGAAGATTTTTTAGGATGTTCTTTATAAAGTTTAATTTATGCTCATCAATTTTAAACTCATGATTCAAATGGAAGGCATTCCAATGTGAAATCTGAAAACATTGCATTGTTTATTTATATATAAAGCATAGTGTTTTTAAGTGATCCATTTTATTATCTTCTGAATTTTAAGTTGAAATTTGGTGAGCATAAATAAAACTTGATAAAGATTATGATAAAAACATTCATCAAAAGATTCCATCAGAAAAGATTTCAAATAACCTTGACTAGATGACAGATCGTCAGGCCGGCCTAACAGGATCACTCCGAAGTTAAGATACCACAAATTGAAGTATGCCTTTTTCTTTACATAGCATTAGTGCATACTTCCGCTATCTCTGACCATATTTTCCGCCATCAATTTATATAAAAATGTATCAAGATGTGTATTCATTTTGTTAATTCAATTTTCCATTCAATTCAACAAACATCAATATATTCGCTTAGAACGGTTTTTTTATAGGGAGATGCCTGCATATTTTATGTGCTTTATTTATTCATTTATTTTTGGCTTTTAAGTTTTTTATTAATTCCATTAAAAAAAGATTTTTATTAATTATTTGATTTTTTCAATTCTTATTTCAACTTTTTTATTTTTTATGAATATATTGCTCTGTTATAAACTACATAACATTTTTTTATATATTGCTCTGTTAAAAAAATTAATTTGCCATTAGGTTATTATAGAGGTTGAATAGAAAAAGAGGGGACAATTGACTCATATATTGAAAATATAAACATTATAGATTTATTTTGCATTTTGAGATATTTTGCTAATGTTTGGGACAACTTCACTTGTTTGTTTACCTTAACTCTTCTCACCCCTCACTTTTCTCTCTGTTTCTCCATAGTGTTTCTTCCTCAATCTTCTCTATTTTTTCTACCATTTTCACTCCATTTACTAATTTAGTTATCATACACAACAATGTGATATATTATTCGCTCTATAATGGAGATTCTTCTCAAAATGTTTGTTATTGAGGTAATAATTTATTTTCATTTCGCATGTTCATTTTTAGAAATTTATTTATTTATTTTCCCGATTTGTGTATATTATTTATGTTATGACGTTGAATATTGGGTCATTTTATTTTATTGTAAGATATTGTGGTGCTATTAATTGAAATTTTAGTCCAAATATTCTATTTCATTTTATGCATGTAATATGCTTATTAAAATGATTCAATGAATCTATTTTTAAAATCTAAATCTTTTTATCTCTCTCTCATTTGTTAATTAGTTTTAGATTATATTTTTACGGTTTTCCAATTTAAATTATGCTATAGTTATTTTCATTGACTGGTTTATTTGATTAGTATGAACTTTTTTGTTCATTATTGAATTTATGCATTACAATCAGTCAATTAATTATTAGCCAAACACTGTAATAAGTTTTAGAGACTGACATTTAAACAATAAACTAGATAATTTATAATAATGAAATAAAATAGTTAATAAATACGGAGTATTATTATATTATTATTCAAATTGGGAGGCTAGAAAATTTGAATCTAAAAAGAATTGAGAGAAAAAAGTCTTGAATTTGAATAAATATAATTGTTGTCATTCCAACAAACTATCAACACAATCTCTTACCATGAATAAATAAAATGTAACAATCTATAATGTTATAAGATTTACGATATAGATAAAAAACATAAAATCAGTAAAAATGAATAAATAAATGCTTAAAATGCAAATGAAAAAATTGGAATAGATTATTACCTCTATAATAACAATTTTGAGAAGAATGGTCCATCATAGAGAGCAAACTAAATTATTATGTATGATAAATAAATTGGAAGGTAGAGTAAAAATTAGAGAAAAAATAGACGAGGAAGAGAGTAGTCATGAGTGGAAAGAGGTAAAGCAAAGTAAGAAATTGGTGAAAAGAAGTGTGCTTTTATACACAAATTTATATGTACACAAATAAATTGCAAAACTTTATGTAGATAAAAAAAATTTAATACATTTAAATGTAGGAGTGAATTGAGAAATTTGAGTTAAACTGAGTAAAAAAATAATTATACTAAATTTAAAAATTAATGGGATGAGCTAAATATGAGAAAATGAAAAAATTACACTAATACTGACAACAAAGTATGTTGCCATGTGCTATAGCCAAAACTATTGCTATTTAAACGAATAAATAACATATTCCAATTACATGAATAAATAATATAAATCACGTGGATGAAGAAAGGTGAATTTTATTCCATCTCATTTATTTTTTTGCGATTGAAATTTAAGTAGAACCAGAATCTTCATGCGGCACAGAAAAAATGTCGGAGCAAGTAATGGTTCCCGCCATAAATTAGATACATACAACTATTTACTTGCTGATGAGAAAGAAAAGGAAAGGCGTTTGAGACTTTTCTCTCTTCATCTCCTTCCATTTCGTTTGCTTTTCTTGGGGCGGCGAAATGGGAGGATGTGCGAGCAGGCCTCAGGTGTTGACGGAGGAATTCGACGCCCCACTCCCGCTGCCGCCACCTGCGGAGGAGAATGATTGTAAGCACGATGTGATCACCAAGGACATCGTGGTGGTCGAAGAATGCAATGCCGCCCATGGGGAGTCCCACATCGGAATCATCGTCGCTGATGATAATTTCAACGAATCCACTTCTATCACCGACATATCCACCCAGGTGAATTGATAACTTCTAATATCACCTAAAACTATGTGATTAACGAACCCACTTCCGCTACCACCACAAAATAGATCGTATTTAACTTGCAGAGGAGACAAAAATCATGTGATTGATATTTGAGCACGTGAGATATGAACAACTTTAATCACATATTTAATTATTACTTTACTGGAAATGATAAAGTTTTTTGCCACAACCAAATAAGAAAATATTAAGAAAGTCATGAAGTAAATAAATAAAATAAAGAAATATGCATCTATGGTGTCTATAGCCTTTGTTTGTTGATTTTAATCATTTGTGTCCCAAATTCATACATTTAATCACTTAAATAATTAATTGATAATCAACCCATATTTTGAATCCCCAATTGAAATAAATTTCTACTAATTTTCATTTTTAGCATTCTCATTTCTCAAAAAGACATAATTATGTTATTGACTTATTGTTATATTCCACTCGTCCCGACCCAAAATTACATATATGATTACATTCTTAAGAAGTGTGCATGTAAGGCGAGGAATATAATATGTGGCCTAGTAATCCATTTTGGGTCGGAACAATGAATTTATTTGAAGTAGCTCATTTTGGACCCGAGAAGCCTATGTATGAACAAAACAATCCATATTTGTCCAACTTGATTGAGTTGGCCCGTCCCTATCTAAAGTCACTCTTTTTTACAAATATCATCAAATGTGTCCCTATCTAAAGTCACTCTTTTTTACAAATATCATCAAATGCGTCCCTATGATTGAGTTGGCCCGTCCCTATAACATTCATCAAATACAAATATCAAAAGCCACTCTTTTTTTTAACCCCCGAAGACAAACCACCAAAATCAGTGGAACAAATGTCGGGGGACATTTGTCGGATTTTATTAAAGAAGAAGAAAGATAACAAAAAGAGGGGGACTATACCAATACCTCTTTCAACAAAAAAAACAATTTAAGTCATAAATCTAAAAGAAGGTAAACCAAACATATCTAAAGTAGCAGCACTCTTAACGGACCCAGGTAACAAATTCAGATCAGACCAATGCCTAAATTGGGATGAAGAGAGTCGAGCAAGCAAATGGGCCGGCTCGTTAACCTCACGCAAGATATGTCGGAATCGGATGCCTTTCCTAAAACATAACATCCCGAAGCCATCAATCTCCTCCATCCACCGATCCCTTTTCCTACCTGAAACGTAATCCTCAATATCAAAAGTCACTCATATGACCTAACCTTGGCTTTAAAAAATACCCCATACAAGCTAAAGTGTATACATCATTTACACGCTCTATTTGTATGTACATCAACCTTTTTTTTTAAGGTGTATGTCGGTGAAGACAATTTTTTTGTATGACACACTAAAAAACGAAAAAACGTACACAAAACCTCGTTGGTTTAGAGTTTTTTAGGACGGAATCATGATTCAGGGTAACATTTTCTTTAATCTTAATATAGGATGAAGAGCTCAATTCAGAACAGGTGAAGGAGGAAATATTTGAAACCAAGGAAGCTTCTGAACCATCCAAATCAATGCCCCAACTAGATGATAGTGCATTAGAATATCATTCTCTTGGAGAGTCTCCTGAACCAGAGATCCCACATGAAGCTGCATTTATGGTAGAAACTTCAGAGCCAGACTCATGTGTGGAGAAAACAATAGAGGAAGTCAAGGAAGTAGGAGAAACTATTACATATGTGGATGAGCATAAACCTGCAGCTGAGATGAGAATAGCAGAAGAAGATACCCCCTCACCTGAAAATGAAACAGACAAAGATTTGGGCATTTTAGAGGACAGAATTGAGGAGAAACAGATAATAACAGAAGAGAAATCTGTGGAGATGAAAACTGAAGAGCAAGAAGAAGAAAAAGCACCAGATACATCCAAGACAACTGAGGAATCAAAGAAGCTGTCCAGTTCTAAAAAGCAATACTGGCCCATTGCTGCACTTCTTAGAAATCCCTTGGGAAATTTTGCTAAAACCAAATAGATGTATAAATCAGGGAAGAAGTCAAAGCCTCTCTATTGTATTCATGACCTTGGTAGGACTGCAGACACTTGACATACACAAGTGATGTTTTTTAGTTTCAACCTACGTTTTGTTATAGTAACGACCTAGTAGTATCGCACTGATTCTACGTTTGGTCCGCGTCTTTGATCACTTTTGGTATATTTCTATTGTTTTTCGCCCATATACGGTCTCTCCGTTGATATTTGTGATGGTTAAAATTGCAGGAGAAGCGTCTGAAAATTGGACAGAAGGACTACAAATGACCAAGAAATGACCAAGAAATGAAATGGACATAAAACTGATCTGATCAAAAGTGAAATTAATTCGTAAATGAATAGTTCCAAACAAAAACCTGACCATTCCCAGCGCGTGAATCTATTTGATGCGCCTATCTCGTGATTTCTTCAAAACAACATTCCTTTAACACAATTAACAATGCCTAATGGAAGAATGGGTAAATAAAGAAAACATTTTTTGGGGACTTTTTCCTCTACGTGGTTTTTTCTTCAAGATATAAAGCCCCACGTTCGGTGGTTTTGCTCACTCTGTAATCATTTTATCTTATTTTCATCCATAAACGTGTTTTCTAAATCTATTGTTGGAATTTTGAGTATTTCAAATAAACATAATTAACTTTAAATAGTTTTACATTTAATTCATGTTTTGAACAAATAATTAAGTCCGGTAGGACTCATTTTGAGTTGAACGAGTAACATGGAACGTGCATAAGGATGCATGGTTGTCCATGTTTTTCTCCCCACTTCATGGATCACCTAGCATTCTCCAACAACTTCAATTTGATTTTATCAACTAAGCAAACTACGTACTATTATTTAAGTAGTATATGGGATGCTAGTGCTTCACAATATACAACACATTTTACATGGCTAAAAGATTTTACTCAGCTTTTTATATAAGAGCACTACTCACGTAAAACTACTTCTGCCAATCATCATACTACATACTACATAGCATATGTTCTAATATATTTAAATCGTTGCTGGGTTACGTAAATTCAATATATCCTCGTAGATTCTGTGTCCGGCAAACTCGTCGAAGGGCTCGTTATATATTGGGGGAAGATTTCCGACCACCGGAAATACTTTCTTTAGGATAGCATTTGACGTGTCTCGAGCCGTGTTATTTTTCTAATATTGTTTTGCAGGTTCCGACGACGAATATATCTAACATCTATTTCTACTATTTAGGGTATAATTGACCATTTGAATGCGTGAGGTATGGACCGTATGGTTACTATTTATTGGCAAGATTATTTTCCATCATTTATTGTTCTTTTTCAAATCATCAATTTACCTTCGCTTCAAAAAACAAAACAAAAAAAATCATCCACTCACCTTGTAAGAGAAAGAATGAATGAAAAAAAAGAAAGAATGAATGGAAAGGAAACAAATCAAGTGATATATGAAAAGATATAGAATGTAACATCCACCTTGCCCGGTCCAGCTGATTCGGGACAGATGTCACTGTCGTTTATTTTTTAATAAAAGTTCTCGATAAAATCATGAATTTGTGAAAATATAAATAAAAGTCTAGTCAACGATTTATTTTAATAAGCCTCATTAATCAAATGTGAAAACTGTAATAGATTGTCACAAAATAATTGTTCAATTACATTGAACGTGTCTAAAACTCAAATTAATAAAAACTCATATTATTAACTTTTAAAAGAGTGTCAATTGTACTAATTTTAAAGAAAATTGACAATAACCCCAATCCCAAGGATCCACTTGAATCTCTTATACATGCAATGCTTAGTGTACATGAGTTGTACACAAAATTACACAAAACCTTCCTAGTTGCCTGTGCACATGCAATTCATTTAGAAAAGAGCGGAATTTGATACCCAATTGTCTGTGTACACATTTTGTGTACATCTTGTGTACACCAAGCATGACCTTTCACCTACGTGTAGAAAAAGCTACACACTCATCAATTCAAAGTGGTTCTATAATATACGAAGTAACATGAAATAAAAAATATATATTTATGTGTAACTCAAATAGTTAACAAAGAAATATGATGTCGTTACCGTCTAATTACACATTTAAAACATGTAAGGAACACATATTGCACACTGTCATCGTAGATGTCGAATTTACTTAATATTATCTTTTAATATAACTTATTGATGCTTATAAATTTTTCAACTACTAAATAGGTAAAATAAATCATTAGAACTTTGTCAACAAACTTCATATTCAAAAATACATATAAAGACGTCATATAATGCATTACCCAAACCTTCTTTTTCATTCGGGTCTTTTCATAACATTTTCATAATTTCAAAACCGATACAATAATATAATTTCACATAGAACTAGACTCTAGCTAAGGGTACATAACAGAGATTTCAGATTCAGATATTCAGAGATCTTCAGAGGACCCTGGCCTAGACCGTATGCTAGCACACCAGAGGAATCATAGTCGGTAAAACCAACTCGTACCCAAAACTTTAAACAGAGGTACCATAAACTAGCATTTAATCCCAGAGTAAGGCTCTTTTAAAAAATATTTCATAAATTCATGTATTATTGGGATATTGTTATAAAATGAAGAAGATGAAGAACATATTTAAGAGATAGATATATAGATAATAACTTCTAAATTATTTCTTCTTTTAATATGAATTTTTTTGAATGAATTTACAATGAATGTAATGAACCCTATTTATACTAGCCAAACTTAGGGATGAATCGTCTAGAAATGATTCTACATAATTTGCTGGCAGTATTAAATCTAGCCATCTATCTATGATTACAAGGACTAGTAGTAGATGAGTGGCCTGATTACAAGGATTAGAACTAGCTAGGTGTCCTGATTACAAGAATGGACATTCACACTTGTCATTTTGGTGATTTACAACTCTCCCCCTTGAATGTTCATCCATGATAATTAATTGGAAAAGCGCTTAGGATAACTGCTTCTTATGCTAGCCTTAACCCGTTAGGGGTCCTGCTGTTTTTGCACTAGTTTAGGAATACATCCCCTTCTATGTTGTGCAGCCGTTCGGGACTTCAGAAGTTACACAACTGGCTTTCCTAACCCTTACACCTGTTAGGATGGCTGTAGGACGTGCTGTTTGAACTTCCCAAATCTTTTCAGCCCTTACACTGTTCAGGATGGCTTGACGATGTTGGCTGATGAATTTTCGAAATCTTCCTAGCCCTTACACTGTCAGGACAGCTAGAGAATGTGTGCCGACGACACCTCTATACCCTTGGGACTTAGCCATTTTTCTTGGTCTTATGCGGCCGTTCGGGCATTAGAAGTTAGTTTTTCATTATGGTCTGTTGACCTTGTTCGGGATATCCCTGTATCCACGACCTCTGATGTGATCCACTTAGCTTTTACCACGTGTCCCCCACAAGTTTGGTTTTAAGGGCGGTGGTTGTTATATAAAAATGGGGAAGCTGGTGTTTCCTCTCTAGAACAGTGTAAGGGCGGTGGTTGAACTTCCCAAATCTTTTCAGCCCTTACAGAGTGTTTTATTTCCTCAAAGTAATCAGTTTGCCAGTTCCTGTTCCTCAAGCTGTGATCATCCTTTAGGCCGGAGTCTACTATCACAAGGCTTTCCTAGCCGCCGAGCGAGAAATGACAACTATAGCCCCACAGCGAGATGATGCCCAACTCCTTCTTGATGCCGCTCGTAAGATGGTTGACGATTTGCAGAATAGGACACCGTCTGTGGAAAATAGAACTAAAAGTTTCCAAAGCAAAACACTTATCTAAGAAAATCTCATACGTCAACATGGTCAGAATCACATTTGAGCACACCCACGACACTTCCGGGGGCCAGGGGGCAGCAGGTCCTCCAAGACTTGGGCCACTGAGAGCCGCACCAGCGGCGGACAAACCCAAGGATATGACGGGGATTTCACTCATCTAACCCCTGAAGCTGCAAGAAGAGATCCACGACTCATGAGAGAGATGGCGGATGCTATGCGTCGGATGGTTGATGCACATGATGAAGGATACTCCACGTACACCGGAGACACCGAATACACATCCCCATCACCAATTCGCAACATGCAATCGTTGGATGAGCATACTGAAGAAATTGAATCAACCAGAGCCTCGATCCATTCACGGATGGGGCAGGGGAACCACAGAAGGGCACATACCCCTTGGTACCAGCGTCGTACCCTTCACAGCAAACCCCACTCACTCCCAGGAACGAGACTCAATTCAGAGATTGAACCCCGGTGATAAACCCGGTGGGCCAGCGTTTCTAGTATGAAGAGAGAGATGGGGGTCGCTTCATCAGGAGACGTCAGGGGGCAACTATACCCCGAACGGAGAGGACCCTCCCCGAACGGCCCAAGATGAGGCGCTGACCGCCTTGCAGAAACAGATCGACAAGCTCACCCATCAACAGAACCAGACGCCCCGACCACCTCGTGATGGGATCACATCTCCATTTACAAGGGAGATAATGAAGGCAAAAAACCAGAGGGACTGCAGGCCCCTTGTCGGGCTGATTTACAACAGGGTGGGAGACCATAATGCGCATCTCATGA